GGGGGGGGGGGGGGAAGTCTGTGTTATGCATGCCTGCCTCTGTGCACATAAAATATACGTGTCTATTTTCAGATAACGAATGTTGATTCAGAGACTTATAGGAGAAATATCCGTGCAGAGGAGGTACATCTGTCTCGGCACACTGGCTCATAGCGTTCTTTGCCCTCGGTGGCGCAGCTCAGAGACGTGAACATTTCCACAACTGCCACACTCTCATCTGGATCCTGTCTGTTTATACTAGTCCTGCCTTAAAGCTGTGCCTATTGCACATTGGTATAAGTAAATACAAAAAAACCTCATCTTTCCAAAGAGTTTTGGCTTGATTCCACCTAGAAGAGGAATTTTTGAAGAGTTTTATACACACTAGATTATCTGAAAGTATTTTTAGCTGCTTTGCATGTCTTTTCTGCCTGTATTTTTGGACCAAGCAGCAGGGGTGTTTAAATGCTCAGGACAGAGCAGTGAGGTTTGTTTTGTAACAGAGGTTGTTCTGTACTGAATCAAGCTTTCCTAGCCAATAAAGTCCTCAATAATGGCTGATAACAGCTACCCCATATTAAAAGGCACAAGAAATCCCACAGTGTGTCTGCAGTGTAACAATCTGGGCCAGTGCTGTCTTAATCCTGTAGCTGAAGATTGGCATTCACAGTTTTTTATCCCTTTCAAGGCTGCTGAATTTTTTCCTTCTTACCCCTGTGACCGAATGTTCTCATTATTATGAGTTTCCAGCACTTTGTTTAGAGGTTTGGTAGCTTCTCGTCCTCATGTGGTGGCAGCGGGTCTCGCAGTCCAACTGGCTGTAACAAAAATGAAACAAAAATTGCTTTTTAAACGTTTCTGCCTTTCTATTTGATTCTCCCGCTGTTTGTTTTTGTTTTTTTTTTTTTTAAACTAGAAAATTGCTGGGAAATGCCAGATCTCCTTCCTCATCCCATTCTTTTTGTGTGCCTTTGTCATATCCCCCTTCTGTTCTTATCCTCGGTGAGATTAATGGAGCGAAATGGATAGATTTCATGGTCTTAATGAAATAATTAGCATATGGTGACACTCAGCTGATAAGAAACACAAAGAATCTCGTCTGGCTATTTGCTGCCATGGGAAGGTCTGTCATTCCCTCCCTACTTTGAGGGAGACCACGACAGTAATTTACCATAAGCAGCATTTTTCGATGCCTGGTTCTTAGCCCCTCGGAACACAGGGAGCTTTTGCATGGGGTAACACTAGCACAGTGAATGACTTACTTGTCTTAAATCTTGACGGTGTCTGAGTTCAGTGACTCTGAGGCTGATAACCGAATAATTCCAGGGATTATGAGTTTGCGGTAATTACTTGCGAGGGATTTAGGGTTTGGTACTTTTGATTTAGCTTTTGTCTCCCTTTTTACGGGGAAGTAACGCTATCCAAAGCGGTCGGGTGTACACCGTTGGTTGGCCAGCCAGCTGGGCACCAGCTCTTTGACCTGGCAGAGTGCTCTGGCATCCAACACGCTTTCTGCCCTGATGTACATAGGAGCTGCTGTCATTGCTGTCCTGGATGAAGCCGTGTGCTCACGTGTGGCAGCGGTAGTGTTACCTTCCTTCTTGGTACCTCTTTAAGTGGGAGAGCTTTGGAGATGGTTGAAGCACCTCCTGGAGCCAAGATGTGTGTCTCGGTTGTTTAGCAGAAATAACTATCTTCCCTTGCAGCACATCCTTGCTACCCTGCTGGGTAGTACAAGATGCTGCAATAAGAGCTGATGCTTTAAATAAGGGATGGGTGGCACGTTACACGAGGGATTGTATCCACGCTGTTTAGCTGGGGGTGGCTGTTAGCATCAGCGTTTCCCTTCTGTTTCAGGGATTTGCTGACTTGATTCTTGGGCTCTGTCCCTGATCCGTCACTTTTAAATTCTTTAATTAAAAAGAGAGAGAGGAAGCAGCAGGTGGAGAATCATTGTTTATCTGATTGGGGGTGTATTGCTGCTGCGTCACTCTCTTTTCAGGTCAATCTCCTCAGCCCCAAATCTCCTTAACCCGCTCTCCAAATGTTGACTTTAATAATGTCATCTCAGCAACCTGGTCACCTCCAGGTTGGGTTGTATAAAATACAGCTCAAATCCTTTCTGGAAGAACATAGCGTGATGGGAAAGGTTGGGTTAGGCTTCTCTGAGCACGCTTGTCCGCTCACAAACTGCGGTGGAGCGAAGCAAAGGTCAACCAGTTTGGTCGAGCAGTGGTCCTCCCCATCGGTACAGGAGATGGTGGTCTGACCATGGGAATTTCTCTTGCAGCCACAGGACTTCTGGGAGGAGTGGCGCAGCCCAGCTCTCCGGTGGGAGGCAGAGAAGGGATGGACAATGACCAGGTTCAGCTGCAGACGCAAGAGAAGATTTCCCAGGAAGAAGCAAAAGAGCTGAAACAGGTATAAGTTGAGATAACTTTGATAAGAGTTGTTTCACTCCCTCTTCTTCCTTGATAACAGGCATTTTCATCATCAGAAACATAGTCCTTGTCCTCAACAAAATATTTCTCTCCCTAAATTTAGATGGGCATATTTTAAAAATCAGTTAATCGACCCTGTGATTAAAATACACTTATAACTTCATATTTGTTTTTAACTATTTTGAACAAATCGGGGATTATCAGCAGAATATATTAAGTGATGGGCTTATAACCCAAGGAAAATCCTTAATCATAACCTGTATTTTCTGAAGATTAAGAAGCTTAACCATTAAATACTTTTCAGCTTTTTCATGTTTTTCCTGTACTATCTTACATTTTTTAGTAAAGAGTAGCAGTTCTATTTCAGAAACATTCACAAAGCTAAACAAAGTGCACAAAGAGAACTTGTAGCTAGGAAATAAGTATGCAGTCCAGCAAATTAATAAAGGGGAAGTAGGTTGGAGATTTTACTAGAAATAGGTATTTATTTAAAGTAATCCAGTCTGATATTGTTCCCTTAAATGGCTCTTTAATGAATTTCTTTCATAGCTGATGTTCAGAACTTTTAGTGAAGAATCCCTCTTTCTAGTATGTGGTTGATCTGAAACAGTGAACCAACTGGAAGAACAAAGGAATATGGTTTCAGTGGTTTTTCCATTAAAATAGGTTTACCGGTGGTGATCACAGCCACATCAGAAGATGTAGTTGAAGGTTAAACTTTATTCTTGATATTTTTTTTCCCTCTAGCATCTTACTCTTTAATATTCCATCTGTAGCGTGGTGATAGCATCATGTGAATTTTCTGCTAATTCTATTGCCTCTTAGCCAAACCTGCAGTTTTCTAGACCCCCTTCTTTTATTTTATAGTTGAGAATTAGAATACAATTGAGAGTCACAAGCTCTTAGTAGTGACTTGGGTGGCTACAGTTGATCTATAGATTATAGATAACTTAATATATTTTGCTGATAATCCCCGATTTGTTCAAAATAGTTAAAAACAAATGTGAAGTTATCTATTAAAATAAGCCAAAAGACAGTTGGGTAAGTGAGAGTTTAACCTTTTGCAGAAGCTTAATTCCAAAAGTTTCTGAAACTCTCTGTGCTTGTCGTGGACTAGAAATAGTGTTAAATAGCCAGTGTTATTTAAAACAAAACAAAACACTTTCAAGATTAACTGGAGCTCAAAAGACAATTCTGGTATTTATTTATACCGCACCAAGCCAAGAATTTTTAAGCTGGTTAATGATTTGGGGTGAGCTTGTGTAGGGTGGTGTGGGGTGATGCAGGTGCAGGGAGAGGATCTGAATGCCAAACTGACAGGCCACGAATTGGCCTGATTTTCTCCCAATAATTGCTGAGCACCTGTTCCCTGAGCGTCAGGCCTCTTTAATCATCATTCAGTCATTAATAATTTTAAGGTACGTGCCATAATTCTTATAAAACTCCCGTTCCTTTTCCTTACTAGGAGTCACTGCGTAAATACACAGTTTTAGACCAAAACTTGCTTCTGTAATCAAAATATGATCAAGATCTTCTGTCTGCAATATCTTATTTGGGCTTTTTCAAAATAAAAATGGAGCATTCACCACTTAATCATTCTCTCTTCTTCTCAGCTTTTAAAGAGCTTATCTCCATGATCTCTCATTTTATCAAAAAACAAGCTTTTTGTGAAGCAGCGTTGACCTTTTGGAAGATTTTAAGGGAGAGTATTTCTCAATCGTAGTTGTACAAACAGCAGCAATCTGTTATTCATGCATGCATACACTTTGTACAGCTGTTATGTATTCGGAAGGGCTAGTTGTTCCTTCCTTACATGTCAGCTTTTCAGCACTATAATTCTGATTTGTAACCAGACCCAAAAAAGCTGAATATGGTATGAAGGTTTATTGGTCATGGATTACTATTGAAGACACATTCTGCTACGATTTGCAAAAAAAAAAAAAAAAGGCTGTCTAGGAATTGCTTCCCCAGGGCCAGTTCTTGCCTGTTGAACACCAAACTTTGCTGATGCTTGATCTTATCAGAGCAGTTGGCTGTGACTGGAGAAGCAGAGGAAGTGTAGGATGGGGAGTTCAGCGTCTTCCAATGGGTCTTGTGAATTGGGAATGGAGCCTCTCATCTTGTATAGACTGCTGTCTCTCCAGCTGCTCCCAGGAGTTGTGCAAGTGCTGCTTTTTCTCGTTGCTCTTAAGTGCTGAGCAGAGGGAAGTAGCTCAGGATCTTTCGGTTCTGTTAGGAGAGAGTGTGGTGAGGTTTAGAGGGGAAGTGTAAAGATGTGGAAGTGAAGAAAAGCGTGATTGAAACGGGGAGTTCCTGCCAGTAAAAGCGAATTTGAAAGGAGATCTAGGTTGGGATGTATTCTAATGGGATTCAAGGGCAGCATCATGGTAAACACCATACAAAGCCTTTGGAGTGCTGGAAGCATTGAGGTCAAGATCACAGAATCATAGAATGGTTTAGATTGGAAGAGACCTTGAAGATCATTGAATGCTAACACCATGCCATGGGCAGGGACACCTCCCACCAGCCCAGGTTGCTCCAAGCCCCGTCCAACCTGGTCTTGAACACCTCCAGGGATGGGGCAGCCACAGCTTCTCTGGGCAACCTGTCCCAGGGGCTCACCACCCTCAGAGTGATTTTTTTTTTTCTTTTTTTTTTTTTTTTCCTGATATCTAATCTAAATCTAAGTCTTTCCTATGTTGGGGGCTCCAGAGCTGGACACAGTACTTCAGGTGCGGTCTTACTAGAGCAGAGTAGAGGGGCAGAATGCCTTCCTTTGACCTACTGGCCACACTTCTTCTGATGCAGCCTGGGATGCGGTTGGCCACCTGGCTGTGATTGCACATTTAAACTACATCTGAGCAGGACATTTAATGCTTATGTAAGGTATGTCAAGGCTTTATCTAAGGTTATATTTGCCATATTCAGTCATTTTATAGTTGAGAAGCGGGTGAAGTCCATAAATAGAAAGCAGGGCAGGGAACCAGGACCTTTGTCTCATTTCCAGCAGTGTGTCCTTAAGTAGTCAGACGTGAGCTAAGTTTGGGGTGCTCCTTGCTGAGGTGTAGCCTGCTGTGTTGTCCTCTTTTCTCCAAACATGCCTCATCAATGACCAGTGTTCATAGTCATCTTAGCCTGCAGCATGGGCTTGTCTTTCATCAATGTAGTTGCTCCCAGAGAGTTTCTTTGCACTGTTTCGGTTCAGCTCCGCATTGGGCATGAGCAGGATGATGGTTAATCACTAATGCAAAACATTTAGAGAGCGAAGGGGGAAAACAGTTACAAATGCAAAGCGTTAACATGCATTGAAGACAATGGTGGCATCAGACTTCCATGAATGAATTAAAGGTATTTTGAGGTCCTTATGTTGCTAACTACAGAGTTTTCCTGAGCAGTTGCCTCTCTTGAGGATTATGATCTTTTATTCTTTGATTATTTGTAATGCAAGCACTTGTTTTTAAAAAAACAAAACCACAGAGCCCAGAAGAGCTTGTTTTTGCCCCCCTCATTACTTCTGCTGGACTTACATCACAACTTTTGAAGTTGGAGAGGGAAGAGGAATTTGTGATGAACAAATAGTTGTCGTTTCTCATCCTCTCTCCTCAAAAACAAAGCACTTGCAGTAATAACAATAAATGTTTTGCAACAGGAATTGTTGAGTGATCCTAAATTCCTTCCATTAGAGCTGGAACCCCTGAGCGGACTGCAGTTGTGATTGGGTGCCTGAGTAAAGGACCTCGCCAGGACTTCATGGAGGGACGTTTACGTTAAAAAAAATGCAGAGTTTGTGGCGGAGATGTGAGCTGTGTTCCTTAGCCTGTGCTATAGAGATGGAGAAAGAAGCCTACATAGTTGCTGTGGTCTCTGGCTGAGCCTCTGCCTACCGCCTCGCTGTGGCTGACATAATGGCACTGGGTGCGGGAGGGGGTGTGATAATATTAGCTTAAGGGCTGTGGTCGAAGAGGAGCGGGGGGGAAATTCACTAAATTTGAATTTATTTTGCCAAACCAGTGCTTTCTAATTTCCGAAACCGTTCCTGCCAAAAAGCTGTTGCCCTGATACATGCTGTCCGCAGATCACATATGCCGTGAAGACAGAGATAGTATTAAAAAAAGTTAATTCTGTAACATCTGCGGAAAAAAATGTGTCCCAGTGTGTATCTTAACATTTGCATCCTCAATGTCTTCTCAGGTTTAGATGGTTCCATTTCAACCCTTTGCTACTTTCACAGTCTTCCCAATGTTTATTTACCCTTTTATCATGCCCTCATCTCAGGAAATCACAACTGTTAGGTCAGAGGAAAAGAGTTTTGTTGAGGAACTTGTTCATTCCAAGTGCTAAATACCAAATTTGCTCATGGGATGGCCTTGTTCCATGGCCTATAGCGATCCCCAGACAACTGATCTGAACAGACACGTGTAATGCCCATGCCCTGCATTTATTTTTTTGGAAGGCACAATATGAGGAGGGAACTGAGGTCCTCACAACTAACGCTTTGTAGTTGCCTGTGCGTAACTCGAGTATTTAATGGTACCAAAATAAAAGGTGGTAGTTAAGCCTGTGGAGCTGCTTGAGTATTTTTTTTCCAGACAAGGCCAGTGGCATGTTAGTGGCACCATGAGTACTTAGTACTCCCTGAGAAAGCGAATAAAATCAGATTTCTGCGCCGGTCCGAGAAGAAATAATGGGAGAAAACGGCCACTAGGAATAAGGTAGTAAACAGTGACCCTTCCGTACTGTCTGAATAGCCACTGGCTCAAAAGAGCTGATGCTTTAAAATTTGTCTGCTTTTGCGTGCTTGAGGTACAAGGGACCTGCTGTCCTGTCAAACTTGCCTATTCCAGTGTTTTCTGGGCTGAAAAGTTTTGAGCTACAAGAGGCAGCCTGATTTTCCAGAGCGGGCAGAAACGTTTTTGCTGGTGGCTGCTGTAGAGTTTGGCTATTCGTACACCAAACGCAACTCTGGCTCAAGCAGAAGCAACGTCTGTGCTTTTGCATAGCTACAGGTGAGCAAGGCTAGCAGCAATCCCAACCAGGAAGCATGTTAAAACAACGTTAAATTCATAGATTTCTGTTATGGCAAGTTGCACTTATCTCATGAAGCATTGACAAATGCTCTCTAGTAAACTGCGTTGCTGTGATTTCAGATGTTTCTGTTCTCTACTGTCTCTCTGCCCATTTCCAGGTGCAGCAGGAGAGCATGTGGACAGCCTCTTAATATTTTCAGTGCCAGATTACTCAATTTAATCCCTACTGTGGGCTTGATCCTATAATGGGACTACGAATTGGAATATTTTAGGTGTTGTCCTCCCTTCTTGGTCACCTGCAGTATGTTCAGCACAGAGGTAAAGCGCGGTATTAAATCACAAGTTATCGCTGTCAAAATCTCTGTTTGCCCCCTAGTTCAGAGTACTGCAAAGTAACAGCTCTTTTGTTTCCTAATAGCAGGTGAATTTGGCTGGGGAAGCGGCATCCAAGAGCTGTTTCTGGTCATATGTCTGCTCTAGCATTCAGACGTCAGTTGTGCAGGGGTAGTGGAGTGAATCTCCGGGAGGATTTCAGGGAGCTCAAACTTCACTTGGCGCTGCTTCCTGCACGGTGATGCTTTCTGCATCTTATTTGTACTGTGGGGTGCTCAGTGTATTGAGATGGTAGATGATATTTTGCAAGCTTTAGATAAATTGCATTATTACCATGGCATCTCAGGACCCGAACCAAACTCAGGTCTCCATTCTAAGATCTTTAGGTGTTATGGTTTGAGAAAGCTACAACAATTTATTGTCGTTTAGACAATTGTTTTATCACCCAGTGACCCCTCCCCACCCGGGAAGGGGAATTGGGAAGAAATCAAAGAAACCCAAGGCTTGAAATATAGACAGATTTAATAGAATAAGACTAAATAATTAACATTAATAACACTAAAGAACCAATATTGATCCTGATACCAATACAAAATACACAAAGATTATACTCAGCCATCTATATCTGTAGGAAGCTGTGCACTCCCAGCAGGGGACAGCAAATGCGGGACACTGCGAGCGCTGCGGCTTTGGGAGGAAGGGAAGGGCTCAGGGCTCCGACTCTGGGGCAAGAAGTTCTCAGGATCACAGCCATCAGGGGAGAGAGAGCTTCGCTGCAAACTTTCTAATTTATAGTGAATGTGGTGCTCATGGTGTGAAATAATCCTGTTGGACAGCTTGGGTCAAGTGCGCGGGTCTCACTCCTCCTCATCCCTGCACCTGGTGAGCTCAAAAACACTGAGACCTTGAAACCCACACCTCATAGCTGGCTATAAAGTAAATATTTTCACAAATTCAGACACTAGAGTTTTCTAAAAGTGCAGTTTTCCCAAGCATTAGAAAAGAAACTAGTCCTGTGTGACTCAAACTGGGACATTAGGGTATAATCTCTTTGTACAGTGCCTGATGCTTTGGGTTTAGGTCTTCGGGTGGTCTGGCAAAGTGATAACGTAATGGGGCTCAGCACTGAGCAGGTTCAGAGGCTTGGAGTCCTCTGCTGTCATTCCATCTGTGTCTACTTCGTGATGGTCTCCAGCTAAGGGTGGTCACCTTACCTCCTACTCGAACCAAAGCAGAGAGAAACGGGAAGTGCTTGAACTCCTCCTTAAGCAGGTACAGAAAATAAAGGAGATGAACCATGACCTAAACTGTGCTGCGTTGTTTAGGTCCCCATAGCCTGTACAAGAACGTGGGGTACATAGCTTGGATGGACACCTCTTCTCCCAGCAAGGCCCAAGTCTGCTGTAGTTGAACGCTTGACACAGGGTGGATTTGGAGAGCAGTGGCAAATTTGCTTCCTTGTTTTTTACAGTGAGAACTCTGTGCGTGGGAATATTAGGTAACTTGCCTGAAGTCGCACAGCAAATCTGTGGCAGAGCCATAGGGCTAAGTCAGACTTTCCAAATTATAATCCGGTGGCATAAATCTGAGGCTGTCTTGATGTGCGATTGACCAGTGCCTGAGGAAATGTGCCTTTTAAATGCGTCTTTTGATGGGCTCATACCTGCTGTTTGGCTTTGTGTAACAGATAGAGTTTCACGCTGAGTTTTCATGTCTTGGTTCACCGTCCAAATTACGTGCTGGCACAGAAGACGGTGCTGCTCTGAGCAGCTGACAGAACTGGAGCAGTGATAACTAGACATCTTGCCATCGTTTTGCTTTGCAAAAATAGTGACCAACTTTGGCCAGACTTCAGATTCCAGTAAGTCTCTCCAGCAACCTCTGTGGGCTGTGCTGGAAAAGCATCTTAACCATTTCAGGTCCTATTGGACAGAGTAGCAGCACTCAGCTTGAACAGTGGAAGATGCTGACAGACCAAGGGTTAAGGGATTTATTACCAGACTCTTAAGCAAAGAGAATTAACAGATGAAAGTGAGCCGCTTGCCTTTTATTTTTTGTGTGTAACCGCATCGTCATCGCCCACTGCCTTTCAAGGCAGAGCCTAATTGGCAGGTGAACTGAACAGAGCCCTGTAGCTGACCGAGTTTCCATTTTACTACTTTCGTATTTTAAAAGCTTTGCTGTTCTCAACAATTGTGTCTTTTTCTCTATTCTAAATGTTAAGTGTGCTTTAATGAATGCAAAGCCTATCAAAAGCGATCTGCTTTGAAACTAAAAATAAACTGTTTTTCGTGGCAAACCTGGGGGTTTTTTTGGCACAATTTTGATTTACAAATAAATCAGGTGCCTCTTGGCGAGGTGGGGAAGGAGGAGTGTCCCTGCTTCTATTCTGTGTCCTCTGGTGCCAGCCCCTGCTTTGCTGCGTAGGTCTCTTGGAGACTTGTCCACGTTTACCTTATGTGCCCACCTCAATGGGTTTCCCAAACTGAGATGTGCCAGGTGAGGACGTGGCTTGGGAAAGCTGAACTTGCCACACTGCTGAGGGTGCTTGGTGATAAACCTCCGAAAGATTCTGCTGCAGCAGAAGGTGGAGGTGTCAAATGGCCAGAGGGACCATTCTGGAGCATACATCGAACCATGATCTAGAAAGCGTTAGCAGATACTCCTGCTTTTGTTCTGCTGTGCTCAAAACCAATTTTTGGGGTGGTCTTGGATAAAGCTTTTTAGTAAACTTACTGGAAAAAGTGTCAGCGTGGACTATCTTTGTATCATCTGCAAATGATGAAGCACGTCTTTCGCTGCTGCCCTTTAGGATATACTGAAGTAGTGAAGTCTCTTCTCTTAAACTAGTATAAAGAATTAAAAGTTTATTGGAGTGGAGGCTGAAACCCTGTAATCTTCTCTCAGCTCAGCATTGAAGCTGGCCCTTGTCTTAGTTGGATGGAGTGGACCAGAAGACCTTCAGAGGTCTTTTCCAATCTTAATTATGCTGTGACTTTATGAATGGTAGGAGTCATTTCATATAGCACTGTCTACTTTATTTTGTGTGTTTATATATTAGATATATATAAAAAAATATGTGCAGAAGAAGCTCAAAGGAAGGACTAAGGTAGAGCTGCCTCTGAACTTCCCATTTCCAAGTAGTAAAGTTACTTCCTCAGGAGAGGGGAGGCCTTATTTCAGACCCGTGTCCTGAATCATACACGTGATAAATCTGATCATGTAATTTTTCTTCTTGGTGCGTATTCTACACACATCTACCACCTCCAGTTTGGGGAATTACACTTTCCTGTTACAGTGAAAGAACTTGAAGCGTTTCATTTGGGATAGAACCAGAGGGTTTTTTAGCTTGTAGTTTTGGTAAGAACAGAAGAAGGTAGATTAAGCTTGATCCATGGTTTGTTTTGTATTTTTGCTTTGGCAGCCAAATTGCAAAACCAGTTATTCACACAGCCGTGTTTCTAACTGCTTGTGATTTATGGAAAGAGCTGAGAGATGTTTTATGAGATAAATCTCGCTACTGTGGCTGACGTCCAGCTTTAGTCAAAGCATTTTGTCTGCGCAAAATTCCCCTGCCATTCCAGCTAG